GAACTAAATGCGCTGAGAAAAGCAATACAATACAGTTATTAACATGTGCATTAGGCTTTGGATTTACGGATTTAATATATCAGGGCGGTTCAAGAAACATGTTGAAATCTCCGTAACGTGCATAATGTTGTTAGTGACAAGACGCAGGCAACTAGAAAGTGAAGCACTTTTCTTCTGCAGGTGAAAATACAAAGTTGAACAGCCTTCTGGTAAAAATTGCTTACAGTTTAAGGTCATGGGAACTTGGAACTTAACAGTAACATAACCGCTGAACTTATAGATTGCAGGAACACTTTCTACCCACTTTATCGCCGGCGTGTTGAATGATTAGATAGAGGCAGTGTTAGTTTTGTTGAGTTAACCGCAGAGTGAAAGGTGATGGCACGCTGTAAAAATTTGTCTTTGCCTCTAACTTCCTGAGAAGCTCTATCACAGACCAGAATTATTTACATATCTTTATTAATTAGACATATATATGTTAAATGACACATTTTGAAGTGTTCAACAAAGTCTATAGCAGGAGTGAACAAAGGCAGGAGATCGTGTGAAGCCCAGTACCATGATAAAGTAATTCTAAAATGCTGTTAGTGAGAAAAGGTTTTAAACTGGCGTAATAGTCGCAACTCACTTCGTACCCACAATAATTAGAAGATTGTGCTCTGCTGGTGAAGTTTTTTCACGCTCATCGTTCTTCTGTGATGTTGTATGCAGCCAAATGAGAGCAAATCGCGAAAACATCGTCGAAAGTCACCATTGTACATAGTGTAGATTATAGGATTTAGCACCTGTAAGTTACACATCAAAGATGTGCATCGAAAATTTTAAAAATTTCAAGTTCGTTTCTTTTTCGTAGATTTTAAAACTCGTAAAGCTTTCAGCTCACTGAATCAGTTGTCATCATGGTAGTGAATTCTAAGACACGTTCAAATTCCTTTGAATTATAATCCGCTTCAAAACAGTTTTTGCACAGTCAAAAATATACAATTGTGCTGTCTGTCGGGGATGGAGAACGGAAAAATTGTCTCCACTAAAAGTATTACTTTTTGCAAGTTTTTTCTCGAGTGCGATACGCTCATAATTTTTGCAAGGAAAACGTAATATTAATTGGAAACGGCTGGAAAAGTCGCATCGTCAAGACATTTTTTGCAATGAAAAAAAAGTTTAATCAGCTTGTTAAGGTCAATACTAATGTTTTACATTATCATGCTAGCTTAGTTGCGGTAGCTGCACAGGAGGAGGTCATGGCAGGTAACCCCAATACATAAGCTGTGTCAGAGTTTTGAGTTTTTAGATCAAAATTTCTTGCATAGCGTTGCTTGAGTTGACGTCATCTATTGGGTACCACTTGATATTGTCGTCTCTGAAACTCCATTTCAAAAAAAAAACCCACTTGACAAAATCTCGGATTTTAAACTTTGTAAAGCGGGCTTGGAGTGCTGATAGCAAATATCATATTTATTTTGTACGGTACAAACCTACTCTAGGGCTAATAGATATACGGTAGTCCATGACAGAGACATGCCTGAAAATTGGCTTATGGC